AATCATGATAGTGTCGCCAGCGACAGACGAGGCTCTGAAAACTGATGAGCTTTATACATTTATTAACCCGACTGCCTCAGGAGGAATATGTTTCACATGTTTTTTGGTTTGTATGATATATCCAAAAATTCTGTTTCACGGGGCTCAATGCTTGTTGGATTTTGGTATTCGGATTCGTCCTAGCAGTATGAGTGATACTGGGTATATTAAAATTTCATTGAAACAAAATGGCGAATATTAATAAAATAATCAACCTTGAATTCATATTTCCAAGGCTGCAGCTTGACGGTTTGATGGATTTTGACAGAGGTGCCTCTAGATTAGAGACGGTATACTTGACCAATGTGTTTCCAATATTTACTTAAAAATTAGAGTTGGATTGAACAGTTTGATCGCCATCCATTTTAATAAGATATTTTTTTAAAACAAATCAAACAGTGAAATGGGAACACTTTTTATTTGACATTTTTACAAAATCATAAATTACAAGAGTTGCTTCAAGCAGCTACTTCACACTCGCCAATTTAACAATGGGTACAAAATCATCATAGGCCATTCCTTGTATAATAGTAAAGAACAGTATAAGAACAAACACTCTAAATCTTATTAGTACTACTTTGCCAGTATTATAAAGCGAATGTCAGACGTTCATTTCATACTCTGATCCGTTAGTATTTTCCAAGGAATGTGGTCGTATTCATTGAACGTCTAGCCTAGCGTATTGATGCCATGTTTTATTGTTGCATAAGGTTATGTGGAAATTCAATCATTCCATCGATCCGGAAGGAAATCTATCAGTAAATACTGACGTACGGATCACAGTATGGAATGAACGTCTGACATTCATCTACGAGGGTCTCAGTTATAGCATAATAAAGGAAAATATGCGAGTTATATATATATATATATATATAATATATATATATATATAAAGGTAACTTTATATAAAATCTAATTACATATAATATAATCAAAAATATATACATCAACACATTAAGCATAATTGTAAATAATTCATTCAATCTTGGGTGTTACCTAAAGTGTTGTAGTAATCGTGTTGAGAAATTGTATAGCAAATTAATTTATAAGATAGCTTATGTATCCATTTATAACATGAAATACGAAAAAAAACAATACATGCAGTCGGGATATTTCCATTTTACTGTGTATTGGTAGAAATTGCGGAATCTTGAATTATTTCAATTACATGCGAAACAGCTGAAATGTAGTCGACCTATACATACATGATCAGTGTCGCCAGAAAATTAAAAATCTACTAATTAGCTATGCATTTTGGGAAAAACAAAGCTTGAACTTCTGCCACCTACAGGTCTACAAAACTGTACATAATTTAAAAATACTTCTCAACCTTAGAATCATATCATAGAATCCAAAAAATTACGAGAGATACAACAAAGAAAAAATCTTACTGATGGCTGAATAATACTGCCTTCGTATATACACTTCTAATTCTGTTTTTTTTTAAACTGTCCGATTTTTTCACAGTTTCGTGATGAATTCTGAGTGAGAAATACTTTTTCAAAATCAGTTTTATCAGAAATATGCAGTGCCATCAATAGGGTCATCTTCAAGAAGGTGGTGTTCAAAATACCCCAAAATATGTGGTGATATTGATTGTATGGTATTATTGACTAGAATATCCGAGAGATGTTTGATATTTTTGTTAAAGATATTAGTTGTCTTTTGGAAGAAACGAAAGTATTTTCACCATGGCGGCAAATTTGAATACTGGTCCTGAGGCTTTTGTCAATTCTCCATAAACTTTTCTTTTTTGCAATGGCATGTCAATATCGCCCTCTAAAGAATTCTTACAATTTATACAAGTAACACATTTTTTTAAACAATTCACCACAAACCCTGCAATGTATGAAACAACATCTTCTGTATAAATTGTAAGATTCCATGCAAAAGGTGTGCACTGGTAAAGGGCAAGATCGTTTTTATTTTTTCTTCAAATTGAAGTAATTCTGGGCTATTTAAAGATCTTCACCATCGTCCGCCCTGGTTATATGATATCCACTGCCACAAGATAAGATAGTCAAACGCTCTGGGTTATCAACATTTCCTGTGTCTGGGCCAGATATCTCTGTATGCACCAGCAATCGTTTGTATGCAGCTTCAAACTGCCTTGCACTGGGATTATTGTTGTACCCTCCCTTACTACGAATAGCTCCAAAAAAAAGCTCTAAATGATCCTGTGATAATTTATTTGTCAAAATATATTTTAAAACTTTCTTTTCTACAATACACAAGTTATAAAACTGTTTCAAGCTCTGAATGCAAATCAAAAAATCCTAAAAACCAGTTTTTTTTGGAGAATGTATTATTGGGAGAGTACCTAGTCGCAATCCATGGATATATTGAACTGCCTCGTCCATGAATTTGAAAAATGTATCTGCAGTAGCTGGAGAAAGTGGGCGCTTAAATAAGTACTTTGAAAACCTGTTTCTAGAGTTGAAAATATCAAAAATATCGTTAAATGTTTGAACAAATTTTACGGTACCTTCCACATTAGCAAACGTCGCTAGTTTTAAATCTTTGGATAAATAGGTCAAAGCATCAGCAACACTTCTACTTAAAGTTTGTGTAGCTATTTGACCCTCATTTTTCTCTCGTCCACTGTAGATGACGATTTCTTATTTTTGTGCCTAAATGTAAACCTTCGATATTTTGCACATCAACTAACTTCACCAAATAATCCCAACTTATCTGATTGTTTTCAGAATCACCTAAGTATTTGATGGAACCAAAAGCGTTTCTGACTAATTTTATCATGTGGCTTGGGTCTAGGAATATGTATACATTTTGACCCGTTATAGGATGGAGAAAATAAGTCTTCAAGTTTGTTACATCGTTCAGATTTGTCCCTAGACAAGAAGCCATTGTGAAATTTACTGGAGCACCATCGAATGTTAATGATGCTACAGTAACTCCAGAAGTGTGGATGAAGGTTAGGCATTTTTTCACGAGTTCTGCCTTTTCATAACCAGTCAAGCCATCCAACAGAAAGTAACCCACCGGAATTTTCCATGCTCCATTCAAGCATACTAACATAAAAACCAACACCTCCTTTGCTTCTGGTAGAACGTCTGATTCTATGTTAGCCCCAATATCAACATACCCCGTGAACTTACTCCCTGTCCATTCAACTTGTTTCCGAATAGACATCTCATCTAGGACTAAATTACACATAACAGTAGAGTTTTTGGTTGAAGCTTCTCCTTGTTTTAATTTCAAGGCCACAATGGATTCCTCAGTGAAGCCTGGTGAACCATCAATCGACTTATACCATTTGCTTATTGTTGACAGATGGGGTAGAGCAAGGTTAAATGTCTTCCTCACAAAATTGTATGCTCTTGGGAATAAAAGCTCAGCGTGAGGGCAAATGACCGCAAGGCAGGGTTATATTTCTGGCTAGTACGCCCCCTCAACATTCTTTCAAAGATTTCCAAAGGCATACCAGAAAGAGATGCCTAAAAGAGATATTAAGTATTTAGATGCAATTAAATCATGTAATCTGAACAGAATGAGTATTTTAAAACTAGTATTAATTACATTTATGCAAGATAAATAACATCAGGAAACTAAGATATTAACACTGAACATACCCATACTCAATTCTATTTCTACCATAACCAGTCTCATGACCTGCTGTGGTTAGATGACGATATGTATACTTGTTGTAACAAGTATTAGTCAAAATAAACAAAATACGAATAAAAAAAGAATATCAAATGCTATAATTAAAGAAAAAAATCATGGAGCTATATGTGCAAAAGTGATAAGATGATAATGCTTATTTTCAATGAGCAAGATTACAACTGGTCTTCTGACCAGTTATGGTATGTTGAGTGTTGTGTGTGTGTTGTAATGAAATTATTATATTGAAAAAAAAGTTGATCAATTGCTCCATTCAAATGAATTCGGGTATCTGGGACACACAGTCTTCATCAATCTGCTTACCTTCAATACAGTTTCAGCTGAATCTGTTATATGATTCTTCTGCTTCAAAAGTTTCAATAAGCCACTTAGAGTTTTATTCTTCTCCTCAAAGCAGCAACACTTGTTTGGAGACTTTTTACTTTTTTCCTCAATGTCATTAGGGAACTTTCATCAACCGATAATTTGACTTTGATTTTCTGGGAGTGGAAAAGTCATCACTTGATAAATCTCCAACATAACGTTTTAGCCTGAAAAGGATAAATGTGTCAACTATATACTTTATTCATTAATAATATTATATATCATTTCATCTTGATACAAATAGCTAGTAAGAACAAGTTCTTGTCTCCCTCAAATACCTTCTTTTACGTGGTGTTCTGACATTTCGTTTGGTGACATTGCCTCTAATTGCCAATTGATACTCCTGTTCAGAAGCAGTTGCAGTACTGGATGATGTGAATGACTGCAAAATTTCTGGAGGCTCTACCATCTTAGAAGCTTCATCAGGAAAAGGAATATGACTTGAGCTAAAATATTTTCTACATGAGTAAATGAAATGGTTAGATTAAGAGAATACTCACACCACATGGGAAGGCCCTGGTATAGCTAACTCTTCCATTCTCAATCTAAAATAAAAGGTATACATAAAATACTGGACATAACACATGTAAACAACCAAAATCCTTTGACATACACATGATACTATTTAGATAAGTTTTGACAATAATTGTTTGGTAATGTACTTGAATGTATGAATTGCATTTATTAAAGCACACTTGAAGCACACAGGCACTGACTTATTTTACTGTGCCAATCTGTTTATTTTGATAATAATATGTAGTATAAGCTTATTATATGAGAATAGTTCAAGTCCGTATAGAACTCTACTCACCGCTTTCTGACAGGGCTCCCTTGACTGCTATGGGCTTCTGAGCTTGATTCCTTTGATGGAGTAAGTGTCACTGTTGAATCAGAGCTGGAATAATAATGTTTGTTTAAGATACTTATGGATACAATAACAAAGTAAATATTTACAGGGCTAGAGTCTAGAGTAAGTACAAGTATAATCTTGACACATTTTTAATTCTTCAAACTTTAGATAATAGAAATGCTGAGTAAATATTAATCAATATGAATATATAGGGCAAATGTATCTGTATGCTATTAATAGCATGTCAAAAAAACTCAAAAAAGTAACAAACATATTTACCTTGCATACTCCTGCTCATCATGTATGGAGCGAACATCTACTGGTTCAGCACCATCCTTCAAAAGCCTTCTTCCAGCAGAATCATATTCAAAGTCCCTAACATGAAAATGTTTGCTGCATATCAGTGCCACTTTCGGCAACGTTTTCTCCCAGTCAATGCCAAGCAGTGAAATCCATAAAATGCGCTTTGCTGGGTCAGATGGGAGTCTAAAATTGTAAACACATGTCTTACACCAATGATCTGTCTAATGATTATAAACTAGTTAGCACAAAAATATAATCAAATCATGGCAAAATCACGTTTACTTAAGTTGCATGAAGATTGTGTATGTGGATACTTTTGTACTTGATGAACTACACCCAGAACATCTTTAAATTGTATCATACTGCTAGTGATGGATATATATTCATATAAACTCGTCAGGAAGCTACAAAAAGTTACTAAAATGATGGTAAAAGACTGTTTTATGATATTTTTTTCAGTAAAATTTGTATTGCCACGCCTATGATATGAAAACATAACCTTACTTACCGATGGAATGATAAATTGGCCGATTCTGGATTACTGCTGTTTATCTTGCACACATAACACGATCGCACCATTGTTCAACAGGTAACAGTTCAATATCACTAACAACTTATGGCAAATAGCACAAAAATAATGATTTGTGAAAATCCACAACTCAAGCATAAAATACGCACTTTATACGATCGTAAAATGTCCATTCATTAGAAAATGCGACGTTGCCAATGTCGACTGAAGCTCTGTGACTGAAGGAAATCTCTTTCCAATTCGCTAACGGTAAATTCATACGAAAATAGTTCACTTTTCTACTTTTCACTATTGCTTATGCAGATTTTCAAGAATGTTAACAATTTTATTATTTTCATGAGTCCAAATAGCTGGTTTACACGATGAAATATTTGTTTGAGGTTTGTTTACTACCAGGTTAGGAATTCTATCAGCTAGTAACTGGCAACATTGCAATTCCCTAATATTTATCCTTTCAACGCGTTTTAGTGTAAATAGAAAGGTCTAGGTCTTTTCATCGTCGTTGGTTTAGGCCTTATGCCTTTGTGGTGGTTCAAGTATACAAAAATAGCATCAGTCAGGAAAATGTATTTTTTCAGACAATTATAAATTATTGAATCTTTTGCAAGTGTTGATTTAGGTACTATTAATTTAAAATCTTGTTTTTATCCAAGTCCATAACTTATATTTGATGTTTCAAACTTAGATTTACATTTGAAAATCAAAGTTGCTGTTTCTAAAATGAGCAATGATACTACAACCTAATTTTAGAAGATTTAGAAATTGAAGACTGCATGTTTAGGATACCCTGTCACACCTAGCCTCAAACTAACATCGGATTTGAAATTTGCACACCCAATTTTCCAAATAAAGTCTCCACCTTGTCCATTGAACCATAAAATAATTGTAACATTTTTGCTAAAATTGCTGACAAGATTTTTATTATAAGTTTACTGTCATTTTGCAAATGACAGCTGTACCCTGGAGTACTATACTGTGAATTTCATTCTGCTATGGGTGGGGTTCTAGGGTTAACTTTGTCTATGCTTTTTATTTTTTTTTTTTAGATAAATAACAACGAGATCTCCGACTGGAACACTGTCGAGTGCCTCTCGGCAGTGAAGACCTTGGCAACAGTGTATCTGGAGAAAAACCCAGTGGCCGAAGATCCGATGTACAGAAGAAAGTTGAAGCTGATCGCTCCATCGCTCACACAAATTGACGCCACGCTCTGTCGTTGAGGATCTCTTCCTTGGTAAAGGTAAAATCTGTTATTTTCTGAAAGCAATCATTATATGTGTATAGGCAATGCCGGAAGTCAATTTTTGACTCGACACAAACGTCATATATGTAGAAATAAGTGTACTGTTTCTAATCATGTTGATATGTTCATCCTAGTTAATTGTATACCAAAAGATCACAATACCTTGGGGGGTTGACACCTATTTTTCTACTCTTAAAGTGTTGTATTCAGAGACATATTACAGTATTAAATAAATATTATAATAAACCAACTTAGTTTGCAGGAAGTCGTGAAAACCCCACATAATTAATTTTTGCAACAAGGTTTTCTTTTGATTAATTCGGCTTTGCCGAACTTTAAATAGTATCTCTATAACCTCTCAAGGGTGCAAGTGGTGTAAAATACATTTTCTGCAAACTAATTTTATAATCTCAATACTAGAGAAATTGAGCTTTCTAGCATCAAACACTACCCTGAAATCACTACAAATCTGTGAGCATTACATTCAAAGTCTGCAGTCTGCCTATCTTATAGCTGTGTAAAAAAGGAGTTTTGATCTTGCATCGATCTCCCATATGATATAAAAATAGTCATAAAATGTATCAAAATCTATCTTATTGTATATTGACATATTGTTGTTAACCCTGTTGATAGTAAGGCCATCGTAAACATTATTAAATATTTTTGATCGTTTAAAACTCTCTTAGAAAGCTTTAATTGATTAACGTATTTTACCTGAAGATAGCCAACCTAATGCTAATTCCCGCGTCCGAAACATTTTCCGATATAAAATGAGATACCATAGTTATCTAAAAGAATTTGTCTGTATCTATTTATCATATGTATACAAGTATATTCAGATAAGAGATAGACCGGACATAAACAAGACCACGTGATCATCGAACGCTGTAACATTCGGCAGGGACGTATTAAGAGTCACGCAGTACATATTTTAGATAGTAGATGCTGCTTTGCGTAACTTTGTAGTAAATTAGCACAATTCGATATGTATACGATTGGTGATGGATATAGGATCATGTGGGGGTGGGGTAAGAAATATATAATGATGTAAATATACATAAGGGTTTCAAAATTTTCGCTTCGATTTCCAGCTTCGGATGCCGCCTGATGTTTGGTGAAATACAGTCGAATATAATCTCAAAATGGCGTTTAAATTAGCCTAAATTAAAAATAATCGTATATCTCTTAAAATTGCTTTTAGAATATTGATTAGTATATTTTTTGATTTCTAGGTAAATATGTAACCAAATTAAAACGTTCAAAACGTAAAAAATGTGCATGGTTGAACATTGTCAGAAAGTAGATTCTTGAATAGGTTTTACCAAAATGGGTTCAAAAATGTCAATAATTAATTATAAAATACAGTAGCTTTATAATTACTTATAACTTACCGAATTTGATGAATGACATCTTTTATTGGAAAGATGAGCTTGATGAGCTTCCATCATCGCTACTGCCTGAAGCACCAACGTCAATAATGAATGGCTCGACTTGTTCCTCTAAAATATTGTCCAGTTCCCACATTCTCTTTTCAACTTTGTCTTTCACGTGCTCAATACAGTTTTCCCATTTTTGCGCTGTTATTAATTCTAGTGCTTCTTTGAAAAGTCCTTTGAGGTCACAAAATTTAAAAGTTGTATTGTGCTTAGCTATATAATTTTTAACCTCTGCCCATATGAGCTCAATGGGATTGAGCTCGCAATGGTATGGAGGTAAACAGAGCACAGTTTTATTTTGACTTGCTGCCATTTCGTCAATGGCGTATTTTTGATATTCCGCCTTGTGATCCTTGACAATTCTTAATAATTGTACTTTCAGCATTGCTTCTTCAAAGTTGATATTTTCGAGCGGAGCCAATTTTGAACATCAACTTTCCTTGAAGCCGTTGTTGGGACCTTCTCCATTCTTCGAGAATGATAAGGCGCATTATCCAACACAATTACTGCGTTTTCCTCTAAGTTCGGTAAAATTTTTGAAAACCACTGTTCAAACGATTTGCCATTCATTTCCTCGTGGTAATCTCCAGTTTTCTTAGACTCAAAGCACCACAGACCGTCAACAACAAATCCATCCTCACTGCCAATATGGCAGATAATGAGCCTTTTCCCTTTACCTGGAAATCGAAGTACTAACTGGTGTAGATTTATTTCAATAAGCGAACCTTTTTCAAATGTTTTCATCACATTCAGCGAAAAAACATTGAGACATGAGTATCAGATTGCTATAATTGGGATTATTTAGTCATATTGAAAGAAAGAATATTGAACGTCGTATGATTACTCAGCGCTTCACAATTTAATTTAAAGTTTAAACCTTTAAAAAATGAATGATCAGGAACCTGAAATACGCGCAAATATTAATATTAACAAATTATAACTTTATAAAGCTTAAAGTATGAATTAAAATGATTAGAAATATTAGGAACGGTACACAATATAAAACTTAGTAACTTTTTTTAAGTTTATAATATTCGACATATTTTAAGATTATATTAAAAAATTATTGAAATATCGAAAACACATAAAAACATGGCTTAAAAAAGTTCTAACAAATGAAAATGACAATAAAACATCCACGCATTTTATCGAAAGTTATAAAAGTTTGTTACTTGTAATATGTTTTATCTGCCCCCTGGAATTAATGTTTAGAACCTTGTTCCCAAGGTTTGAAAAACATCCGATTGTTGTCTATTACTCGTATTTACCTGCTGGATTTTTTAATCCGGTGGACAGTCCATCTAGAAAGGCTCTCCTGGATGAAGTTACAGAATCATCAACCCATACTTTACTTGTAGTGTGTCCTGCGTTTACCCACGTTTCATCAAGGTAATAAATCTTCCTGTTTTGATTTCTATATTTCCCAATTTTTGTTAAATAATCCCTCGTCCATAGCACAATTTCTTCTCTATCCAGTAGTAAACTATTACGACCCCGTTTTTTCCATTTGAAATTTAAATGCTTCAGTAACGCATGGAAAGTTGATCGTTTGAAATTTGGCAACGTTGTATCTCCATTTACCTCCTGCAGTACTTCATCTATAGTAGGTATTTCATTCCTAATAAGAATTCATGCACTTTCCTCCTAATCGCATGCTTATCAGCTTCATCCAATGATTTAACAATACTTTTGCGATGTTTACTGGTCATTGGCTCAGAAAAGGTGTGATTTTTTTTGTATTGTCTTAACACATTAAACACTGATGCGCGACACAACCCAACTTTGTGAGAAACCTTCACAATAATTTCTTTGATGGTTGATGCCTCGTTCTCCTCGCGCTCGATCTTATATATATTCAAAATGACCTCTTTCATTTCTGCACTCAGGTGTCTTTTTTTAGAGCGTTTCCTAGGTGGACTACAGGAGTTTACAACTTAATCGGCAGTATCTGTACTACTGGGCATTTTGCGCAAGCAGTTGATAACAATAACAATCAATAACAAGGTATAACAATAACAACGACAAACTCAACAACTTAATAAGATAACAAACGAAAACGTCCAAAGAAATATCAAATTGCAATGATGCACACGACATACGTAACACGTCTGAACCTGAATGTGACTCTGCCTTGATACGACTGCTCTGCCGCTCGGCATAGGCATTTAATTGCGAATTGACCAATGAGGGCTCCTGTTTTACGTCGAGACGGCGGCGTTAGCGTGAAAATCACCCGAACCTTTGTTTACATCCGGTCTATCTCTTATCTGAATATACTGTAGGTATACCTTGAAAAAGTTAGTGTCTTATAGATGACGCTGTAGTCACCTATATGCATGTATATGTTCATATAGACAGCGTAATTTATCAATAGCAGTGTAAGAACAGAATGCACATTGATTTAAGTTGTTTTCAAATATAAAACAATGTGGCAGCAATATACAGGATGACGGGAAAATAGATGCGGAGCCGGTGGGGGGAGATAGTACAAGCCAATCTGAGTCGATTTTACTATAGGAAGTACTGTCCGAAAATTAGCCGTTTTCGAATTATACTAATTTTTAAGATTTCATAAAATTAACGTCCTTTATACGTTAATCAAGCCATAAAACTTTGGTTTTACAATAAAAATATTCTAAAATACGAAAATTGATACTCAAATGTACATTATTGACGTTATCTCATGCAGTAAGCTTCAAAATAGTTCGATTTGTGTTCATTCATCTCAAACGCTTCAGTTTACTAGAAAAAGTCGCATACAAATTTTTCGTACAAAATAATTAGAAAACATCTACTTTTCATTACCGTTCAAATGAGGTATAAAAATCACAAATCGATTGAGAATTGGCAAAAATATGGCTATTAATAAAAAGTAATAAAAATACTGCACTTACAAAATCATATCTTAATACAGGATAATTTGTTTGAAACTACATTTATTTATTTTTATAATACATTTTCAATATGTCGCCCTCTATTTCTAATGCACACACGTGCTCTTCTTATGACAGCTGATTTTACTACCGCCGAATTCCTGAGAGAGGCTTGAATTTCTTGTGCTGCATGTATTATCCTGCTTCTGAGGTCTTCTATTGTGGGTACAGGATTTTGATCAGAGTATACTAAAGTTTTCATGCGACCCCACACAAAAAGACCATAGGTGTTAGATCGGGACTGCGTGCTGGTCATGGGATTGGTCCACCTCTACCGATCCATCGATTCGGAAAGTGCTCATTTAACCAATTTCTAACACTTAGTCTGAAATGTACTGGGCACCCGTCATGCTGAAAAATCATTCTGTGTCTTGTGTGTAGCGGCATGTCTTCAAGTAATTCAAATAGAACATTTCTTGAGAAATTTTCGTAGGCTTCTCCATTTAAGTTGTCGGGTAGGAAATGTGGTCCTACCAAATACTTATTTATAATGCCCATATAGACATCAGACAAATCGCCTCTGAGATCCTTTTGGTCTCTTCATATGAGGATTTCCCACTGCACGTGCACGCCTTAAATAATTGCTATCTTCAACAGCAGCGTTTAAAATAAAACGACAAAATTGCATGCGCCTCATGGGATCTCCTTCCTCTATGACGAGCACAGGTGTGTAGTGGTAAGGGTGAAAAATGTTTTCATGTAAAACATACCACACTTGCCATTGGGATAATCCAAGCCGTCGAGCCACAGCGCGAGTAGAGAGAGTAGGGTCTCTTTGGAAAATATTTAATATTCTTATCCTTCTTCCACATCATGTCGAGGTCTACCTGCATCACCTGAAATAAAATGAAAAAACAAATAACAGTTTTTTGGAGGAAATTGTTACCTAATAAACATAGCGGTAAGACTATGAGCTAGAGCAAAATATTATTTAGAAAAAACGATACACAATGGATGGTTCCATCTTCAGAGCCGTGTAGATGCTTGTGTTAAAATTAAATGAATAAACTCTTAAGAAGTTCAATCAACTGTTTCAAAACAACTACTATGTTACAGTATCATCAGTTCAGCCCACATACCTCCAAGGCTCTACATAGGCCTTACTGAATGACTGATTATAATAGGATAATAATTATCGATGATGCAAACTTACCTTGATATCTTACGACGGTACCGCGCTCTCGAACCCGACGGAACGTCTGCCTAAATACGCGGGCGTCAGGTAGGCGACGATTAGGAAACATTTCCCATACTCACGACGAGCTTCTTCAGCATTGCCTATGGCATCTCCATAGTAGAAAAGAATATCGGCATATTCTTCGAAACTGAACGGCCGCCTCCTTTGTTCATCAGCCATTGTACATCGATAGGTAGATCAACGAACAATCAAGTGACACAGCAGCCACGTCGTAAGGAATCACAGAAAACAGGGTATAGTCTAGGTCGTCAGAAAAAGAATCACACACGGAAGTCCAACAACAGCCAAGTCGTTAGAAACATCAAAACAGCGAGCAAACAAACACATCCGAACGCAACAAATCGCAAGAGCAGATTGAAACTTTTGAGGGAGGGGTTGACTAGCCTTACTTATCACACTATTCCAGTGGCAAAGTCCGATGTTCGCGGCTCTAACTGTTTCTTTCACTCATATCTTTGTGATTCTAAACCGGTTTGTGACTTTGATACCTCATTTGAAAGGTAATGAAAGGTAGACATTTTTAAAATTGTTTTGCAACGAAAAATTTGAAGGTGATGATTCTAGTAAATTGAGTTTTTACGATTAACGAAGATTTTTTTAACAAAAATTGAACTATTTTGAAGCTTACTGCATGAGATAACGTCAATAATGTACATTTGAGTATCAATTTTCGCATTTGAGAATATTTTTATTGTAAAACAAAAAAAATCAAATGAACACCCAATTTTCAAGTTTTATGACTTGGTTAACGTATAAAGGACGTTAATTTAATATAATCTTAAAAATTGTATAATTCGAAAACGGCTAATTTTCGGACAGTAGTTCCTATAGTAAATCGACTCAAATTGGCTTGTACTATCTCCCGCCACTGGCTCCGCATCTATTTTCCCCGTCACGCTGTATAAATGCTTAGCAATATATAGCTGGCCACACTAAAAGTATTGTGGTATGTTGCTACTCTATTGCAGGTAGATAATACGTAATCATTTTGCTCATTTAGGGTCTTCATTACATAAATTACTACAATATTTCTATTGTTATATGTTGACCAAGAAATTCAAAGAAACTTGGAGAACATTTGACTACTAGAGGTAACTAATACTATTCCATATTGTTTATTGTCAAGTTCTTACGGAATTGTTTTTCTAAAAAATGCATTTCTTTTACAGATGTGGTACATGAGGTCATTGCCAAAAATATTTTTCGTTAATTTTAGGTCATCATACGTAAACGTTTTGAATATGAGAAGATAGTTTATGACAGTCCGTGTATAGCTTCAAAGTTGTGTTTACTACCAACAGCAAAATGTTTAGTACATGTGTACAAAAAAACTTTGTGCCATATTTTTTGCAGCAGCAAAACCTACAAAAAGTCCCTTACAAAATCAATGCTTTCTTTACGTGTCGTATACGACTTAAGACTGACAAAAAATAAATAAACGAATAATTTTTTGAATTGTCCAGAAGTGTTTATTTAATAGCACACGTGTATGTTTCTTGTATCTCAATTCGATGGTATTATAGTGTTTAACATCAAACACATACTTACATAAAGTAACACTTAGTAATTTACGTTTATTGTTAGTTTTTTGTTACTAAATTATGAACGATATTTTTTATAATGCGCACTATTAATGGATAAAATCAAAATGTAACCATGTATCTAATAAAATATAATTTATTTATCCTGTGTTTTTTTTACTTCTTGTCAAATGTCACTCGATATGGAAGAGGGTATTTTCCAAAATTATTTTTTTTAAGTAATATCAATATTTGCCTTTCAAAAGTATAATGTGGTTTTTCACTGTGAAGTATAAAGAGAAGGTACATTGTTCAAACGTAAAATGTTTAAAAAAAAAGCTGTGACGCACAAGTTTTTATCGGTATATCTTATTTTTACGCCCTTATTTTTATACGATCTTACCTCTGCCATGCAGGTGAACGTTTGAACGCTCTCTTCAATGTATGAACTCAAAATTTGTTTTGTTTTTCTCAATAAGGAGTGAACAAACTAGAATAAATTTCATAATTCTTGGAGTGTGCTTAAAAACAATATTTTCCAGCTATAAGTTAGAAAAGATAAAAGTTCGTCCAGGTGGAGAATACATCAAGTAGTATTTGGAGTGGCGCTATTACAATGTCTTTTGAATATACAGTAAGGATGTTCCGATCCACGAAAATGATTGATTCCATGTATCGAATCGTATCGTATTAAATCTCGATACTAAAATATAGGAATAAAAAATCGATACCAGAAGTATCGAAACCTTTCGATAAGGAACATACACTACCGAAATCGAAATTATTTTTTCTACAACCCTAAAAATAATGTTTACTTTTTCAACTGCATCACAAGATTGTCCAGTACGTTCACTAATAATAGGTAAAAAACTCACAATTGCGTAACTTACACCTCCCGCCTAAACTCGATTGTACAAAATAGCTCCACAAATCTCTTCTTACAGGAGGCATCACTATCACAATACGTTTTGTTTTAAACTATAATGTTTAATCAAATAATTCCTCGAAACGGAATCCAACCGGGCTGCTAGATCGTTTGGCTCAGTCGAAATGTAAAAATCCCCTAAATTCAGGACTTAAAGAAAATCCCCAAAAAGCCATCTATTGTTTGTTACCATACGTTACGATTAGGTTTTCTTCGATTTTAAACTAATTTTTGAGCGACATATTTTTGGTGTGTAATCGAAAGACAAAATATGTACATAACAAGTAAATTAGTAATGTCAATGTTATGATAAAATTTTACATAATAATACCTCCCCAGGAAAATATGTTTTCCCAAAGAAATCCCCAGAAAAAATATCCAGAAAATCTT